TGCGGCGAAGCGCCACGAAATATGCTTCCATTTAACTAAGCTCATGTGCATGCCTACATATGTACATATGTATGAATGTATGTGCATATGTTGGGTGCGTGTGTGGGCGTTGGTGTTTATGCGTTGGCATGTGTGCACCATGAAATGAAAATGCTTTCGCTTTGCTTTCGTTGCATGCTGTTACCATTGTTGATGGCATTGCTGTTGTTTCTGCATTTGTTGCTGGCGCTGAGCACTGCGATTCAGCCGACAACACCTCCCGCCACACCATCGGCCCCGCTGCAACCAACACACCTCCACCAATCGTCGTAGATTTCCATTGCTGCCCATGGCACTGACTTGCCTTTTACGCTGCTTTGGCCGTACTTTGCTTTGCCTATCTGGCTTTCCATTAACATTAGGTGCTTGTTTTTTCCTATTATTGTTTTGTTTGTTTGTGGCAAATGACAGGCGCAGGCATATGCAACATGCCATACGTTGCAAAAATAGTAAAAGCAAAGCAGAACATGTGCAACATGCCAATAATTGGCACACACACACCCTTACACATGGGAATTATTGGCTATTTTACTTACTGTTTTTTTTTTGTGTTTTGTGAGTCGTAGGATTTTTTAGAAAATGGCCGCCACCAATTTTGTTGAACTTTAGTCTACGCCTGATTATTTACGAAACGTGTGTTGCATGCAACGCTTATGTACATACATATGTACCTACATGTGTAAGTATATAGGAGTGCATGTACAGGGAAAAATATTTGTTTAGTCACTGCCAACGATTGGAGTTTTCTTTGTTGGCTGTCAATACCAGCGGTTTATTTTGTTTGTGTTTTGGTTAAATGCCTTATCTCTGCGCCAAGAGCGATAAAACTTTCGTTGCAATTTAATTTGAACTGAAAAACTGCATTAAACGGATTTTGATACATACGAAATGCAATGGTATATGTATTTATATTTAATACTTACATTTTCAGGTCTGACAATCATTACTTTTTCCAACAGACATTGCACTTGCGCCATAATCTGTTGAGGATATGCCGCTTATGTCGCCATACACACCCGCAAGCCAGTGTATTGTGGAGCAGCTGTGAGTTTTTAGGTATTTTCGCTCCTTATTTTCAACAAAACCGTGGTTCGCCTTTTTTCGAAACCCAATTTTCGAGTTATTCAAAAAATTATAATTTGAAAAAAAAACAGTTCATCATTTCAAGTTAAGAAAAAAAAGATAAATAGGTTTTATTTTAAACAAAATAAAAATCGCACTTAATTTGCTTCATTCAACCTATTATATTTGGACGGACCATTCATCTAGAATCAATCAAAACCTTCGGAAAATCTCACCCCTTGAATTTTATCTTCGGAGATCAACGCAACCTATCCCAGGCGAAGAGCTCGAATTGCTTTGCGAACCGTTAGATGAGAATGAAGACAACCTGTAGTCGATTCACTGATTTAGGTAGAGTTTAGTAAGTCGCTACAACACAAAAAAAGTGAAAGATTTTCGTTCGGTTTTTCTTTAATTTTTTAAGTAATTTTTTGCAGTCGAAAATTTTTCAATATGTATTTACAAACATATTTTAGTTCCATTTTCAATAAAATAAATATCTTGAATGCTTGGATTCTGGTTTATAACTAAACTAGGTGATAATCCGGTTTATTCGATTTTAAAAATCCGCTATTCGAAAAATCAATATTTAAAAAACCCTCTAAAAACACTAAAAAAAAACGCGTGAAACCGGTTCGGAAAAACTGAGTCAATCACCTTAGTATTCCAAATATATTTGTTAATCTTATCCGACCCTGAACAGCTCTAACTATGCTTAGCTTTGGAGTGCTAAATTCTTGTAATTCGACTATTGATTACCTTGGACGAGGCGCCCACATTCACCGCGTGGGGCACATTTGGAGCAGAGCTGCTAGTTTATCAGAGGTCTCTTTCTTAAATTAGAGTAATTTCGCAAAGATCAGAAATTGCGGCCAACTAGTGTGGACACTAATCGATTAATTTTTTAATCAATTAATTAATTCAATTAAATTCAATCCGATTACACCCAACCATGACTAATTTTAATCTGAATAAACCGTTAATCATAACCGCGATTAAAAAATAATAATTTTTAATCATTAACCCTTAGTTTGATTTAGTAGGTTTGGTGATTAATTAATTTATGCTGGAGTTTTACTGTGCATACAAGGCCAGTTAATCGGGTAAGACAAAGGCGGTTTTCCTCATAAATCCAAGCAATTTGGTGCTCATTTTCATTGAGATCTATTTTACCAGACCCTATGCAAAGTAGGTTTTACTATCCCTCTGCATGTGTCCGATGGGTTATAAAAATTCCCATTTTATGTATTACTAATAAAATAATAATTATTTTTTTATTAGGTTTTTTGTAAGCGTTAAACACAAAAAAATAACTATAGCCCGTGTTTGGTTTCAAATTCGGACAAACTTGACCACTTAATCAGATTTCTTTTTTAAATTGGATTGACGATTAATGATTAAAATTAATTAATCGTAATCACAACCGACGATTAACGATTAAAAAAATTTAATCAGTAGTCATACAGATGATTACGATTAATTAATTTTAATCGTTAATCGCGGTTAACATTTTAATCGTTAATCAGATTAACATTTTGCCAACACTGCGGCTAGATCTTTCCTACATCGAACAATCGAGGAAGAGGAGAGCGTCCAAACTGCCTGCTGTCTATCTGACGTAATATCGACCTGCATACTCGTGGATGTATGGTGTGTTATATACTTTACCACCCACTTAACTGGTGGCTCCGCCCACTGGTCATAACAACTGATGAGTAGGATCAAATTCTTGTGTACATCCAATGCAGTAGTCATGCGCGGTTTAATACATAGAGGGCGTTTATGCCTTTCCTAGAATTTCGTCTAAGGATCCCATTCGACGTATTTAAACTCGATCTATAGTGAGAGCCCCACACCATCATGAGGCGGTGATTGCTTATAATTAAACATCGGCCTTGGCGTAATTCAAGATAAGTTCATTCTCCGTGGACTAGCTATTCATGTCGGATAATTAGACAGTATTAAAAGCATATATGTAATACTCCTATATTGGCAGTAAGAGCTAGTACCGTCCGAAAACACTACAGTACAGATATATCAATAAACAAGTACGAAAGAAAAGAAACACATACGTTTATAAATAAACATGTACAATACATTGACATAAACGGTACTAGACTGTCTCGCTTTGATTTCGGAATGCTTACACATTGAGAAGTTAGCTTACTGCCAATATAGAAGTATTACATATATGATTAAAAGACATAGAGTCAGTGTTGCCAACTTTTAATTTTCAAAAAGCACCAAAAACTTGGAAAAAAGGCGTTTTACCAAACTAAAAGCACCAAATTTTTTTTAATCAAAGGATTCTTTTTTCATAACAGTTTGTATTTAACAAAAGCAAAAAATTAACAATATTTACAAGAATACATACATAAATCAATACACAAAACGTTTTCGCTCATAACGATTGAATAGCCTCTATACATGCTATGATGACTCATGCTTACGACGTATTACCAAAGTCCTATTAAAACTACTATATCTCGAGAAAGAAATATCGAATCGCAACACACGAAAATAATGACCTAAGTAGAAATGTCAAAAAAATTTGATGTTTTCATTATATAACTTCAAATATCGCAAAACCCGTGTTTTTGGCAATCTGGGGGTAGGATATCTAAAAATTCTAGTACTAGAGCAATTGTGCGGCCAGATTTGGATTCAGCACCAAGAAACGATGTGTTTTACTCAGGTGGTAAAAAAAACAAAATTTGTACAAACATTAGAAAAGAAAAAAAAGAAATACTTAACTTACCTGCGTACTAGCNGAAGATGTACCAATAAAAATATACAACAACCGTATGAATGCCATTAGAACTTGGAAAGATAGCGATAGCTGAAATAAAAAGTGTTACTCCATGTTACAGTTTTGCTCGTCACTGTACGTCAGCGCTTATTGCTTCACATTTATTACAGGCAATTCAATAGCTGATGAAATGATGATGAAATTTTGATATTAAATCAAAATAAAAATCTGTTCCCTGGATTATTTATGATTACGTTTTAGGAAATTACTCAGCAAGTTTTTTTAAAGATTTAAATGTTTTTAAACACCGAAATTGAGAGAATATTGTCTGGTGGCGTCACGATTGAGAGAATACAAAGGTTGCGCCGATCTCGGACCGCTATTCCTCTCTTGACGAATTTGACAGAATCGTTGTTTGCATGGCGGTCACACTTGTGCAACTTGTTTNATTAACTATCTCGGAGTAATATTAGTTAAAAACAAGTAAGAGCAGCGCAGATGTATGGAAGATATACCTTATATGGCACCAATCTAAGTGATTTTCTNATTTCAAGACATCAAAGTGCCCATACACAAAAACTTGCAATCATATTGCTCGTCAGTGTTTGCCTGTGGAGTTCTGCGGTAAAGAATCAGTATCGGGAAATGTTGGGTAGGTACCGACAATTCAGCACATCACTAGAGAGCACTTTTATTTACCGCTCTCAGTTGTCAACTCTACGATGACGTCACGCCAAAATTACTCTCACGAATTGCGCTGCTATCGGCGCAATCTTGTATTCTATCATTCTTGACATAAAATATATTTGGTAATTTGCTGTTGAATTTGGTAACTTGTTCCGGTGTTTTCGGTAAAAGAAAAAAATTGTGGCAACACTTGCTGGCATACATTTGGATGGCTTTTTGTGCCACACTCGAAGCAATTGAAATTGAGTTTCGCTACTCAGTCAGTTTTTGTTCAGCCGAGTGACGGCCGGTATGACGGTGCGCGGCAATCAAGGGTTAAATTTTTAAAATAAATTTATGTTTGTGCAACACCCCTTTGCGGTAGACGAAAACGTGGTGGTCTGGTACTAAGTCGACTTCGCTGCCTCCATCTTAATCGTAGCACGTTTTTCCTTTAGTGGCCGAGTCACTCATACTACAGCGCCGTACTAGTTATATAAAAGTCATCATATAAACTACTACATAGTTACATTTGTTCTTCGGCATGTACATACCTATTGTGCGTACGCTGTAGGTAGATACCTATGTATATACATACATATGTATGGATGAGACTATGCGGCACGGCGCTGTAAAATGACAAAATAACATCGTGTAAAATCAACGAATTTCACCGTCTATTGTATTCGACGTAGTGTGTCGACTTACCTACCCAAATACCAGACGTTAGCACCGATAGACGCAGCACAGGAGGACAGACGGATGTCTTACTTCGTCAGCTAGGCTTTCGCTGCCTTGTCTGCTTCCCAGACTGTCTACTTGCCTGCCTGCCTGTTACGCGTAATCACTACGAAGGAAGATTAAACGGTGGGTGAATAAGAGAAGCAGAGCCGGAGGAAGAAGAAAACTCGTCGGATGTGAGCGAGTTAGCGAGTGTGAAGTCAAAATCCTCAAAATTGCCTCTGCTTTCTTGCATATTGTTAAATACTTCCTTCAGCATACCCAGACAGTTTCCCATTTAGTTTGAGATCGGTGCGGCACGGTGCATGGCGACAACGTTTATTAGGCGGCGCAATACGGATTCGTTTCACAAATCGACTTCGGTTAGTTTAAATAGTTTCAGTTTCGATTTAGGCTGATTCAGTGCGCATAAAATTATTGGAGAAAACTTGTACTCAAACTAGATGTGAGCATCATAGGTCGACAGTGCTACGCAGGTAAAACGGACAAGGAAAAAAAAACGTACATACAACTAATAACACAGAAAAGTAACAACATGTATGTACATAGTTGTGGAAGGTTAGCAGAGCGAAGAAAGTTGCACTATTAATTATACATGTATATGTATATGTACATACATGAGGTACGGACCCAAGAAACACTAGCTGATATGACGACAAATTTGATAGAGGTTTTTTTTTGCAAAATTTAGAAGGAATAAAACATTTTGGAAGGCATCTATTGGAGATTAACATACAGATGTTACCTGGGGAAAGAAAAAATTGCAGCTGCACGACTGGGCGCGAAAACGCTCAACAGAAATCTAAAGTCAGGAATGCATGTTTGGATAACTCATACACCACACAAAATTAGATGAACGACTAAATACAATATATGTATGTACGTGCATCAAGAATATAATATTAAACATATGCAAATACATACACGCGTATGAATATGTATGCAGGTGCATATGTAGCAAAAAGGAATGTAACAAAATACGACTAGCTCAGAAATGGTGAAAAGAAATAGAAATCAAAAGGAAACTTGAACACAACACAAAGTCGTAAGAAGGAAAAAAAATAAAAGTGCTAAGAAAACGGAAAGAAAACTAGGAAAATTTAAGTGAAAATCTACCTAAAACTCACCGCTCTAGCTGCCTGACTGCTGCCTGTACATACGCCTGGCCGGCCGGACAACCAACTGACGCATCAGTCTAGTTGAAATAGCGACAGCAGCTAGGCACGGCTACATTAAGTGCCGCGCTACGGAATCCGAGACAAAGCAACATTTGTTAAGAGAAAAGAAAATTCATAACTTTTAAAATTTAAAAGAAATCCTAACCTAACCGAGGAAAATTTACCGAAATCAGATTGAGCAATAGTGGATAGAAATATCGGCGCACGAAAGTGCAATTGAATAGGCAAAACGTATTCTCAAACCAAACGCTATACCAAGGCAAGGCAAAGGAAACCAGGCACTCAATCAAATATGCACACATGTGTAAATATATAAAATACATATGTACATACATATGTGTATAGGTAATTCAAAAGGCAAAATCGAAATAATGCGACGCATGGGCATTCGTGCTTGGATTAGTGTTTATACATATTCACATGTTCATAAGTATGCATATATGTTTGTATATATGTCCGCTTTGCTTTTACAAAACGAGTAGTGCCTGAATTATGCGCTTGTTTTTTTTTTACTTGCATGTGTATAATGTGCTAGCAAAGTGCTATAATATTAGTTACGATACCATAAATAAGAACGAGAAAGACCGTTAGTTCAAATAATCTTTGCAAACATGTAAAAAGAGTCAAAAATTAATAAAAGTCTACGAGCTTCCATTAAAAGGAAGATCAACAAATTATGTGCCATTTTGTAATTCATTCAACTAATCGAGCAAAATTAAAATAAGAACAAATAAAGCCACTAATAATTTATAATCGTATAAAATACTCGTATTCATAAAATAATACACTTAAAACGATCAAAAAAACTAAAGTAATTTGTAAGAAAAATAGCAAATTATGGATTTCCTACAATGAAGATAAGCTTTAAAATTTCAATACGTAAACCATTTAGCACGCGCAGCTGTTGAAATTTCCAAGGTCGGCGCTATTCTTAACAGTATTATTAACACGTTAACACTCAACCTTCTTTCTTCCGTCACATACACACTTGTCCGCATTTTCCCAAACACTCGTATCCCCCACAGCGGCAATAACACAATAATAAAGCAACAGTAGGCAGACTAAACAATTCAGTGCGATACAGCGCGCTGCAAAGACCGGGAGAGCGGAACAGAGTAGTGTTAACGCCGACGTAAAGTTAAGGTGTGCTCGTTAGCATTGACAGTAGGAAAGATGTCCTGCATATCCAGTAATTTTAGCTCTTTCTTCCTTAATTCTCTCAACGATTCATCCGAGTTTGCCAAGTATTTGAGTAATGGCGAGCTAAAGTTTTCATCCTTCGAGGAGTTTCAAGTATTTGGCTCCTCGGGTGCGGGATCGTGTACGTCGCCGCCACCAGCAGCTCATCAAGTGTCAGCATCGCAACAACATCAACAGTATTACAATGGTGTAGGTAATAGTGGCAACAACAACGCGAACGTTAGTGCTGACGCCAACTCGACGGGAACTCAGAGCGGTGGTGATCTGTATAACGGTGTGAGCTCAGCAAATGCTGTCGGGAGTTGTGCGCAAAATGTTGCTGACACGTCGGCCGCATCAGCGATAGCACCTTCGCCTGCGTCTAATACGTCGCAGCCCGGGGTACAACATGGCCTGCAGCAAGCTGATCTTTTGCATCCAACGCATCATACGCATTCTTCTCATGTGCCACATTCGCTTCCTCCCGCTCAGAATCTCTATGGCGGCCACGCGTCTCACCCAACCAGCAGCCTAGCTGCCAATGCCTTTCATCACAATCACCTCGTTACGCCGCATCATGCACTCGGTTCACAAACTGCTGCGACCCAAAGCTATCCACCTACACCGCAACGATGGTCTACAGCCGTAAGTGCCAATTCAACGGGCACCGCCTCGCCTGGAACGCCACACACACTACCGCATGTGCATGGGAACAATCAGCCGGGCACGCCTATCGCCACCAGCTCTGGGGGTGCGCAACATTTTGATGGTTCCTTTGAATTCCTAAAATACCTGCGTCACTCCAACGACTACAATAGCGGTGTTCAAGGCGATATTGGCAGCAGCGCTGTTCTTCAATCTGGACAGTCGCAATCATCAACGGCTAGTTTGATAGATTTGGATAGCAGTACGACACATAAATCTCGTTCTTCACGTAAAGCAGTCGCTTTGTTGTCTTCTGTATCGCGAGCTTCCAATAGTCTCGATGCCGCAACATTGGACGTATTCGATCACGACTCAAAACACACCATCTTTGATATGAACCCTGTTACGGCCACTAATAGCTCCAACTCGAATGAGTCGACGCTCGAGGTATCGAATTTGGCATTTCCCAGCACGCATCTAAATGCTTCTAACTCAAATACTTCTTCTGAGGGCGCCGCTACTGGAAGCTCTGACTTTGCAATGCTACACTCAGGCGTGGCCGCAAGTGCTCCCAAGCCATTGGCTACATTTACCATCAAAGACAACTTTGATGTGCACCCATCTCATAAGGTGGAGGAAGGCATATTTCAACATATGAACAAGTTGCCGGCAAAGAAAAAAGAAAACTTAAAGCAATTGGGAGTTCGTTTCACTGGTCAAATGACGCTTTCGGATAAATCGATGGTCGTTGAAAACTTTATCAAATTCTGTCAGGTAAGTTGATATATATCTATACACAAGTATGTAAAAATATGTATGTATTTTATTTAATATATATACACATGTATTTATGTCGATTGTTTATTAAATCTGAGAGAGAAGTTACTATGTATGTACTTAAAAACTCACTCACTAAATCTGAGAGAGAAGTTACTATGTATGTACTTAAAAACTCACTCACCATTTATTTATAGCATTGCCACGAAAAACTGTGTTTTCCCCATGTAAAATATATGGAAAAATTAAAAGCCCCGGCGCACAGTGTGGCGACTAGAACAAGCTAGCTGAGCAAAATTATTTTATTAGTGTTTTAGATAGATACGATCGACACTAAATAAGTAAATAGTAAAAACAAATATTTTTAAAGCAAGTTATCTTAATATGAACGAAATCGGACCATAAATACTGGTTTACCAAATATATCGACTTATGCGCCACCTATCGGCAAAATTTTTAGTGGAGTTATTCCTTTTCATGTAGTTAGTATACGTTCTAAATATGAATCAATACGGACAATAAATACGGATTTTTCATATATCTCGATTCCTGCGCCACGCACGGATAAACTCATCTTTCGTATTGCATTGTCAGCGGGTTCTGAGCCAACTTTCAGTTTCAAGTCTCTAGGTTATCGGGAAGTTGGTTAAAAATTGATTGCAAGATTTGCCCCTAACAAACACACATACATACATACATATATACAGAGCAAGTTAAATAAAAGCTTGTAAAAAATGTTTTAGGACAGGGGTCGGAAATACCTTGTTGACCCAGAAAGTGTTAATTTATGTTGAAAAAAGGTATTTTTTATTATTTGTGGTTCATTCTAAAATACTACAGCTATAGGGCCGAATGGAGTTTTTTTAGAAAGAGAATTTAAAGATTCTTCCTCTATATTCTAAACTATCTTATGGCTTAAAGAAAACAATTTTCTTATGGAATTCAAATTAAAAGAAAGAGTACGACTTTTCAAAACTTTTTGTTTCATTAACACTTTTCCTCAAAAATAAAAAAACCAAAGTTTAGTTTCAAAGGTAACGGTTTTAATTCATAAAATAGTATGTAGATACATAGATACATACATATGTACATAAATAAAAATTTATAAAGCTGTACATATTTCTAATTTTAAATAAAAGTTTTATAGAGAACTCGTTAAAACATAAAAATCTAAATGCAACTCTAAAAGATTCACTCTCAGTATTCAAAAAACTAGTACTCTTCCTCACTTTCTGAATCTTCATAACCAGGGAACGGATTTTTAGGACCTTAAAACCTATAAAAAAGGCAAAATAAAATAGCGAAAAAGGCAGGAAAAGGAACTACATATTGCAAAAAAGACAAACAAAATAGCGAAAAAGGCAGGAAAAGGCACTAGGTATTGCAAAAAAAGCAAAATAAGCCACTAAAAAAAGACAGAAAATACGAAGAACAATCAAAAAATACATTTATTTTAGAAACGTTTATATTACAAGTAAAAAGAGAAAGACTATGAACTAGTTTCATTATATGAACAATTTGTACTTTGAATCTATGACTATTTTATCCTTTCGAGTTTCTAACTCATTAAACTTAGGGCCTTATTCTGTATCACGAACGATAGGCAAAACGAACGATTCGTCTGCAGACGACAACCTCTCTGATTGCGATATTAAACTCTATCGGTCGTCTTCGTCTTGCTTTTCATACATTGCGTTGCAATGGTCTCGGTTGTGTTTGAACCGGCTAAAATGATGCCGCCGGACTAAATTTTGAAGCATTCCTCTGCAGACGAATCGTTCGTGTTGCCTATCGTTTGTGATACAGAATTAGGCTGTTAATCTGTATAGTTGTAGTAACATTGAACCACAAGATGCATTGTGAAGTTTTCTGGCAGCATTTTCATTCGATTTTCGCGAAGAAAAGCCTTGAATGTACTAAATATGCGCTCGACGTCAGATGATACAAGTGGAGCCCAATTTAAATATGGAACGTTTGAAACGTTCATATTATCAGGAATAAGGGCGTTTTCCTCGCCCTTTACAATTTTATCCACACCCCTTATTGTCTCCAAGCCTACGTTAGCTGAGAAAACGGCTTTGAATTTTTCCAACACTAATTTGGCAAGAGGCCCCTGCGCATGTGAATATTTTTTAATCTTAAAAAAAAATTGTAAATGCTATAATCACTTTTTTAAAGGTAGAAAAGGCAAAAAAAGGCAAATATCTTAAAAAAGGCAAAAAAAGGCAACATCAAATGTGTATATATGGAATCAGGGAAAGCTAAATCGGGTACATTCTTAATCGAATATACTGTATCTCTTTAGCAGAAAAAAAGGCAATTTCCATAAAATCCGTTCCTTGTTCATAACCTTCTTCATTTATAAAATTCAACTATTAATAATTCGTGGTACATGGAGTAACTTCATTACTTCCTCAGGAAATATTAGACGGTTTTTTGATACATTTGTCAAACTATTTATAAGAGGATGTGGCGTAATCAATAGCATTGATAACAGATCGTCATTAGTAGCTACATGGGAACACTTTCTAGTATTGTGTAGCCGATACCTTCTGCAATCCTTATTTCTAGCTTCTTGAGCATCTTCTGACAATTGCCCTATTGGCAAAAGCACTTGTGTATCTTGCCACCTCATGGCTATAAAAAATAATTGTGTGCAACGTTGCAAGAATATATGTATGTATAAATCATCATATTTTATTTTATTAATCATTTCTAAATTTATTTCCTTGCCAGAAGATAGGGCTCTCAATAAGGTAGCTAAATTTGTAGTAGAGATCATACTCTATCAAAGATAAAAAACTAAAGAAAAACAAAAGACATTTTTAACGAATCAACTTTTGTCCACAAATTCATCACACAAATTATAGTTCACTGTAACAAATTGAATATCGCTAGCTTAGAGTGCAAAGTTGCTAAGTCCATTTTTTTCAATTTTACAGGAGACACAAAAAACGTTCCTAAGTAATTTTCTTTAAGTATTTTGCAAAACTTTGAAATTAATGTTTCACGTTTTTCATTTACCCTTTATTAAAAAAACAAATAACAAAAAATTCTGCTTTTTTACAAATTTAGTAGATAATTTTGTGACTTAGCAAATTTTCTACTTTTTCCTTATTTTTTTTTTTTTTTGGACTTAGCAAATTTTCCAATAATAATAACACAAGGGAACAGTGATTTTTTTGCATCAAATGTTAAAGCTGTTTTTGATAGACTTTTTTATGCTGACCATAACTGACTGATAAGTGACCATCAATTCAAGGTACAGGGATGGTATTTTCAGTCTAGTTTTAATTTAAGCCTAATATCACCTTTAAGTACTTTGCTATGGGTTCTAAAATATTGCAAAACACGCAATTTTTTGACACTTCGACCTCGTTTTTTTCCAAATCTATAGCTGATGGAGACTTTATACTTACGGATTCGTAATCAGCATAAAAAAGTCCAAAACAGCTTTAACATTTGATGCAACGAAATTGTTTCCCATTTTTGTCCCCTTGTGTAATAGATTGGCGCTTATACATATGTTAGTGTTTGGCCGAGCTTCTCCTCCGATTTGTGGCGTGCGCTTTGATGTTGTCACACAAAGGGAAGGGACTTACAGTTTTACGCTGTTTTTCATGGCAGAAATACACTCGGAGGTTTGCCATTGCCTGTCGAGGGGCGACCGCTGTTAAGAATAAACCTTCTCTTCTAAATTTGTTTGTAATGTTGCTTTGACCAGGGCTTGAACCCAGGCTCTGCGCAGTAGAAGCGCTCACTGATTACCACTACACCACAGCGGCCATTCTTTTACGACCCCATTAATGGGATTTTCAGTTCAGACTAAATAAATTTTCTGAAAAAGAAGATTGCGAATTTTTTTTATACATATTTTTAATTTGAAACGTAGTTGCGAACTTGTTTATTATAAACAACAACGTATACATTAAAATAATAATGAACAAAGAATTAATGGTATATTAAATTAATAGTATTGTTCGCTGAAACTAAAATACACACCAAAAATCATTCATGTGGCAAACTATCGTAAGAATTATGATGGTCTTTAGGCAAAGTTGCTTATAAATACTTCAAATCTAATTGGAGAGACCTCAAAAGGATTTTCCAGGATATGTTAAAGACTATTGCATTTACCTACCTACAGTTACTTTTTCACATAATGGAATTAACTAAAATATTTATGTAAACACTTGTTGCACGTCCCCTACTTTCATATAACGGCAAATTTAGAAACCACGAAAAATGACTTAAAATGGGCGTTTCTCGCCCTAATTGTATTATGTTAATGTATGCAAATACTTATATTTATGTTTGCAACTACTATTAAATTATCAAACGATTTCTAATCTTTGACAATACATGTGAAATAACACAAACGGCAATCGTATCGGTACTCATTATGTATTCCGTATTAAGTTAAATTTATTATTTTTTAAATGACAAGTTAATCATCCTCTGGGAATCCTAAACTCCGAATAATAAAATCTAATAATGTAGGAACTGAAAATAAATAAAACTCCGTCACATACCAGAACTATATGTTTAATGATGAATGGTATCTACACAGATACATATATGTCAGAAAAATATACAAGTTAATCTTATTTAAGAAAACATTTATTAATAAAATGTTTCAGCGGAAAAAGTCTTATTTTGTTGTACTTCCCAAGGGTAGAAGCAAGGAGCATCCATACAAGGTGGTGGTGATTGCATATAAGTAAAAGTCCCGTGTATTTTGTTATTGCTTTTTGGTACAGGAGGATGTCAAAACGAAAGGGAATAGGATATAATTTTCGTCATTTCGTTTTGTTGACATCCTAAAGTTGCTTCATTCCGTATTGGATGACATTCTCCTGTACTAGTGTAGAGACAAAAATATCCAATCAGGTGATCAATCAACACCACCTTGTATTGATGCGCCTTGGGTAGAAGTTTTTCCAAATGTTTGCCAGTCAACTTTCTTGACGGAGTTATTGTTGCTCCTGCTTTCGAAA